AAGTTAAGTCAGCAGTGGGAAGGGACTTGGAGTGCCCTCGGAGAATGAAGCTTTTGACCATGTGTTTTAAGAAGGAGGTGGACGCATGGGCCCAGAAAGATGAGAAATCGAAGGCATACGTTGGGAACGTAGAACTAGAAAAGGAGTTCACTGAGGACGAGGTTGAGGCGTGTGTGAACAAGCTGAAGTGCCACAAAGCAGCAGGAGCGGATGGGATAGTCAACGAGTTCATGAAGTTTGGGGGGAAGGGGATGATCCAGCTGATGGTACTGCTATACAATTGGGTGTGGAAAAACGAGTATACGCCAAGTAGATGGAGGGAAGGAGTGGTTGTGAACTTGTTTAAGAAAGGAGACAAGACTGACGACCCAGGAAACCACAGGGGGGTCACACTGTTGAACACAGTAGTAGTGTTCTGTAAGCTGCTGAACGATAGGATAGTGGGAGTATTGGAGAAGGAACATAGCATTAGTGAGGGCCAGGCAGGTTTCCGCAAGAAGAGGGGGTGCGTAGACCACGTGTTCACGGTAGGGAGAATCATCCAAGGTAGAAAGAGGGCGGGAAAGCCGACGTACTGCTTCTTCCTGGACGTGAAAAAGGCATACGACACCGTGTGGAGAAATGGGTTGTGGAAACAACTGTCCAAATACGGGATCAAGGGGAAAATGTGGAGAGTGCTGAAGAAGATGACAGAGTGTACGAAAAGCGCGGTCATGCTAGACGGAGAACTGTCAAAATTCTTCGACATTGAGCAGGGGGTCCCACAAGGTTGCACGCTGTCCCCAACATTGTTCCAGGTGTTCATCAACGATCTGTTGGAAGTCGTAGAGGCAGTCCGGAAGGGAGTAAAAGTAGGGGACACGGAAACGTCGGTTTCAGGAATGCTGTTTGCGGATGATTTTGTCGGTATGTCGGACACCCCTGAGGGACTGCAACTGCAAATTGACGCGGCGAAGAAGTTTACTGATAAGTGGAGATTGTCTGCCAACGTTCAGAAGAGTGCCGTCATGGTATGCAACGAGAACAAGGAGGAACCAGTAGAACATAGATGGAAGTGGGGGATCGAGGAGATTGCAGTAGTGGACCAGTACACATACCTCGGAGTAGAGATCGCAAAAGACTGCTCGTGGAATGCACACATGTCCAAGGTAGCGGAAAAGGGCAAAGCACGAGCAGGGAAGCTGCACCCAATACTCGCAAACCGGCACCTCGATACACGCATCAAATTGACGGTTTTGAAGAGCGTAATCGTACCGCCGCTAGAGTACGCCGGAGAAGTATGGGAAGGAAATAAGAAGGTAGTGAAAGAACTCGAGGCGGCGCAGATGAAAGCAGCGAAAACCATCCTAGGATGCTCCAGGCGCACAAGTAATGCAGCCGTGAGGGCAGAATTGGGGATCCAATCCCTACGGTCGGGAAGAGACGCGAGGAAGCTGACCTGGCAGTATCGCATGTGCGGGATGGGAGAGGAGAGGTTGCCGAGAATTGTATGGGAGGCGAAGTGGGCAAACAAAAAGAGGGGTAGACAACCCACGGAATGGGTCAAGGTTGTAGAGGACGTATGGAAGGGGCTCGACATCGACGAAGATGAAACGCTGGAAACGGAGGGTCTACAGGGGTTCAAGGAGAAGATATCTGTTGCTTGTGCCGAGAGAGAAGAACAGAATCTGAGGAAAGAATCCAAGGATAAGGAGGGTCTAGAAGTGTACGGAATGTTGAAGGAAGGAATAGGGTTCAAGGACTACCTACATGGACCAATGGATGCAGGAACAAAGCTTAAGGTCAAATTCAGGACCGGGGACATAGGCCTTCGAGAACGTCGACGAAGACATAGGACGGTAGACGAGGAAGACGACGAGTTCAAATGTGATTGCGGCTTCGAATGCGAAGACCGTGTTCATGTAGTCGCGGAATGTCCGTGGTACAAGAAGGAGAGGGAAGTGTACGTGACTGAGCTGGGAAAAATAGATGGAACGTACAGGGAGATGTTTGAGGCATGGAATAGAGAGGAAAGGACGGTAGCTGTAGTGGGGCATAGGAGGTGGGTTGAAAAGGCGGGAAGGGATATCGTTAGGATCGACAGACTAGGGAAGACATTTTTGAGCCACCTTTGGCAAAGTAGAAAGGAACGATCGGTCATCGGTGATCGGTCCTGTGGGAACAATGCTCCGTCCTCTCGAGGACGCGTGGTCAATGGTCTAACCGCTAAGGCATGCAGAACATAAGAGTACGCTCACTCCCCCCTCTGCTTGGTGCTGTGCTAGCCTTGTCCGGTGAAAACCCGGCGTGCTCCGTCACGGCCTTGTAGGGATGCGTACACCGCCCTCTTGAGTTTTTTCCCCGGTCGTTATTTTCTGGCGTACCTTTTTTGTCTCGATAACCCTGAGGAGTTTGGGGACTAGATGAGGGCTAGGGTTGAGAGTACCCATCCCCTGATAACACGCGCAAGATAGGCGAGAGCCAGGTAGGTGAAGGCTCCACCTATCTTCCTACCTTGGGAAAGCGATTTATATGGATCGGATGAGGGTTGGCCAAGGATACGGTTAGGCGGAGGGAGGGTTGGGTTGCTTGCGGCCTCTGGGTCACTCCACTGAAGAAGCTTGAGAGGTTGAAGACTTCTGGCGTTGTGCATGGGCACAAATCGTTTCCCGTTTTTTCAGCTGCGCGGCACAGCTATGCATGCATTATACAGAGGCAATCAATCCCACTTGTTTGGTTCTAAAGACTTTCGCCCAGTGCCGTTTTTTGTTTGTTTTTTCGTGCAAACTTGTGCCCTTGCGTGAGCGAGCGTGCAAGCGCGCGCTGCCCTGAAACGCTTGGTTTCACGTCAACTACATCCGTCTTGTGACTGGTGACTGACTGTTGACGCTGCCCTGTCGCTAGGTGCTCGAGGAGAGCGGGTTCAACGTCCTGGACATCACGGAGATCGGGGTGGGCGTGCTGTGCACCTGCTCCGGCGGCGCGTCCATCCCGAGCCCCAGGGCCGCCGGCGACGCGGCGACGGCGGCGACTTTCTTGCCCCACCCGGACACCCTCTCGGAGGATACCCTCATCGCGGAGGAGGAAGCGCACTCCTTGAACCACTACGGCGACAGGTAAGGGGTGAAGAGGAAACAGCAGCACGCACAGTAAAGGCTGCAAAGAGTCACCCACCGCCTTCCTGTGTGGGTGTGTGTGTTTGTACGTCTCCCCGTACAATCTGGACGCCAGTCCTTTCACCGAACCTGGCGGAAGGGGAAAAAGAAAATCCTTGTCCCTGAGATTTGGGGCTGTAATGAGGGCGACGACACATAACCGCTCCTCATGGGCCCGTTATTTGCCGGGGATATGAATTAAAAAATTACAGGTCCCGCATCTGATCATCAATTCCGATATAGGTAGAAATTTCAACTCTAGAAGAGCGTGTTTTTCTTAGTGTGGTGGCTACATATAATCCTTCCACAGGTTGGCTATTTCCTTCGGTGATGTGTGGTGAGAAATGCCAAGCGGGACCGAGCGAACTCGGCCGAGCTAGTTTCTGTTGCGACGGACACTCAAATTTTTCGCTTTTCCACGTTTTTTTTTGTTTTCATCACTTTTGAGTCAGCGTCCACTGCAATTCTGCGGGGTAGGACTTGATTCCGTGGACACAGAAGAGTTTCGAACTCCGAGAGACCAGATTGTTCTTGGGGCATATTTCGAAAATCAAATATGCGCTGGTGTGACTTGAGCCGAGGCTCGAACCCACGTTCCAAACCCCAGAAAGTTGCATAAGTCACGCACCATCACAGTACTCAAGCCACTCTTGTATGGCTGTTATATGCTACTCCCGTGCGTTCGTTGACGAGACCGTTTGGTTCGTGGCCGCCGTCTTTTGCTTGCCCAACCTTGCCGTGGCAACCGGCGACCGGTCCCGCTCTTGCAGCTTCACGCAGTACTTCTACCGCGAGCTCTGGGGCGGGCTCCACCAGCACCTGGGCTTGTACGAGGACCCCGCGACGATCGCCCTGCCCGCCAACAAGAGGGTGGTCGAGGTATGTACTTGAACAAGATAGCTCAGCGTGGTATCATTGCACGGCAGGGGCGGTGGTGTGTCGTAAGGTACGCGTTCAGATGGAGGTCATGCATATGCCGGCGCAACAGTTATTCACTGGTGCTTGAGGTGTTTCGTGGCAATTGACTTTCGTATGCATGGTCTGCGGGAGGGGAGGTAGCGGCGATCCAGTCGGAGGAGGGAGGTAAGGTGGCTGTCCGTTTTCCGCGGGTCCAGAAAAAAGTAATGAAAGGGTGCAACGGTGGAAGCGCGCAAGCTTGCTCCGTGAAATAGCAACAATTCGAGGTTTGTGTCCGTGGCAATGTCGGGATCTTGGATCTGCTTGAGAACCGTACCGCCGTAGTTCTAGAGAACAACCTTGCAGCACCACGTGTTTGTTGTCGACTTCCTCTTGAGATAGCAAGCTGAGACCATCTTCAAACAAGGTACTCTCGCGTCCGAGCCCGACAACACCCCCCCACCCCCCCATCAACAGGCGTGCGAAAACAGCACCGTCGTCCTCTTCTCCATCGCCAAGCCCACCATGGGCACCAAGGCCGTCGAGCTCGGCTCCGGGTACGGCTCGGGCTCGCGGTACCTCGCGGTCAACTTCGGGGCGACGGTGGACTGCATCGACCTCAACCGCGAGTCCAACGACCTCAACCGCCGCCTCACGGAACAGGCTGGCCTGTCCGACCTGGTCAGGGTCGGGGAGCCGGCCACCTACTTCAGCACCGGCTTGCCGGCGGCGTCGTTCGGCTTCTGCTTCTCACAGGACGCGCTGTGCCACGCGGGGAGGCAGACGTCGAAGGCGCTTGAGGAGGCGGCTCGTCTGCTTGCCCCCGGGGGCGTTTTCGCCTGCACCAACATCCTCAGGGCGGAGGAGGCTACGAACGAGGAGCTGGAGGAGGTGCTCGCGCGTCTGCAGGTGGGGTGATGGTCCGGGTCGTCATCGTTGTTTGATGGCGATGACGATGGTTGTTGTTGTTGTCGTTGGCTGATCGTACAAGAAAGCTCGCGAGGTCTGGTGTTGTCTTGTGGAGTACTATCTGTATCACACACAAGAATAACCTGTTGGCTCTATCAAAGGAGTAGTAGCTGCCCGCCGTGTCCCCATTTTACCTTCTGGTAGTAGCAGTAGGGTCGGCCTCAACTTTCACACGTAAGCCCGTACGTACAACTGAGCAACGAAAGAGAGGCCCAGAATCACGTTTTCCATCTCACGGAATCACAGCAGTTTGGTGGGCTATTACGTTGGCCCAACTCGCCGGTAGACTTGTCGATGGGCTGATTTTCTTGTGCAACCTACTGTATTGGTGCGAACCGCAGCACTTGCGAGGCCGTCGCACGAGATGGTGACTAGCCTAGGCTAGGCTTACACGACGAGACTCGGTGGGTGAGGAACGACCTACCTGCACCATTCTTCTGAGTAGACTCGCTGCATGCCCGAAGAAACAAGAAGTATCTGAACACAGAGTGAAAACGGTGGTAGCGTCTTCCGAATTCTAACACGCCAGAGAGCGAAATTTGCTGTGGACGACAGTCACAGGGAAGGGAGTGTGTTCTTATGTGCTTGTTTTTCGACGCGGTTGCCCGCCATCCCTCTCTCTCTCTCTCTCTCTCTCTCTCTCTCTCTCTCTGTCGGTCCCCGGCCTCCATTGTAATCAGGTGACCTCCCTGGAGACGCACAAGTCCTTCGTGGGGCACGCGCGCTCGGCCGGGCTGGAGCCTCTCGAGTCGCTCGACAAGACCACGTCCATGGCCGTGCATTTCAAGACTCTCCTGGAGGTAATGTTTCGTTCTACAGCAGTAGACTACCCTTTTTTGTGTGGTTTTGGTCGTTTTTCTTGTTGAACGTTTTTCCCTTGGCGGCTCGACAACATGGCAACCACTGCTGTCGCTCGTGGAAGTTAGTAAAGCTGCACGGAAGAGTTGTTTGCAGGAATCCTTCGCGATTTTCCTGCGCGTTCCTTGTCCGCTTACTAGATGTTGTGTACGTCGCTGCTGTCGTTGTTGGCAATGTTACGGCGACGTCCACGACCGGCAGTGCGATGTTTGTGGTTTCGGTGGTGGGACAGCTCTCGAGTAGTTCGTTGAGGGCTGCTGCGCCATGATGTGCTGAGGAATTACGAAGAGGATTGTTCTGTTTTCTTGTACCCGAGCACTTGAGGTCGCCCGCAGACGTGGGTCCTCTGGACTGTGTATGTGTAGGCTTGGCGAAGTGCCGGATGGAAATGTTTATCTTGTTGCCTTGCAGCGTGCTTAGCCGAGACGTATTATAGTAGTGAGCAGTAACTGCGGGTACTTTTCGGTGCTGAGTGCGAGGCCGTCGCCGCTGCTGCTGCTGAGGATCGTCATGTCGCTGTGGCGAAGATGGTGTATCGCAACGCTTTTCCCATGGATCATGCCGTCAGGCCAGGCTCATCGCCTAGTGTGGAGCACGCAGGGTGCAGTTTGGGCAAGAAGCGCACGAGAAAGATTATTTTTAGCCCTCGCCCCGCCTCTTAACATCGTCCACATACATCGCCTGACACGGTGTGCCTACTTGCCGCTCTCCCTGCCTGTTGACCTACAAACCCGCCCGGCACCCCTCGCGCTCCCTCGGCATCATCATCTCGCGGCCATGAATCGTAGGTTGCGGAAACGCGCAAGGCTGACATGCTGAAGCACACCTCTCCGGAGTACGTGGACGAGCTCGCGAAGGATCTTCGCAACTGGCTCTCAGCCTCGAACAGGGGTGTGCTCAGGTGTGTGCATCCTGCTGCTGCTGCTGCTACTGCTGCTGCTGCTGCTGCTGCTGCTGCCCTTGTCGTGTGCAATATGAGAAAGACGTTTCGAAACCTTTCTATTGATATACGCAGGACAAGCATCCTCTGTTCTATTCCAACCACCGGGAAAGACGCGAATTCTGCGGCCAGGGGCCTTGCTGTGTACATATGCAAGCGTATGCGTGCGAGTTGCGTGCGTCTTGGCGACTGGGCATGACTGCCGTGAGAAAATTGAGTATCGCATGTTCGTAACCACACGGCAGGAGCAAGGCTTGTAGTTGGAACGTCTTTAGGTTGTTGCACGCGGACGGAGATTCTGAAGGGAGGGGCGGATGGGTGCGTGGTGGTGTCGACGGTTGCTTTTTCTCGTGTTGTTTCTTCCTGGCGATTGAACGTGTGAAAACATAATAGGCAACGTGGCCGTTGTTCGCCGCCGAAACCTCTCCTGCTCTACAACAGCAGTGGTCGATCGATCAATCCTCCTGCTATCAATCCTTGATGCTCTTAGACCATTGGACAGAGTCCTCCTCGTGCTTTGTTTCAGGAATTATAAACCATCAACGTTGCTTGCGCGCGTGCAGTTTTGCTTCGCGTCTACAGCGCTACTCGGTTGAGCAAACCTTCTCATCTATCGCGCCTTGTACGAAGTCCTCGTCGTCTCTCGGCATGAGGGAATTTATTTGTGTTCCCTCGAAAGTACCTCAAGCCCACCCACCCGTCCACCGCCCAGTCGTGCGTACTTGCGTTGTATTTAGTCGCTTTCGGTTCCTTGTGCTTTCAGAACCCGCACCAACCCAAGGTCTGATTGCCGTCAACACCGCCCATCCGCCCACGCACGCACGCACGCATCCACTTCCAGGTGGTCCTTCTTCACCTTCCGCAAGAGCGCCACCCGGAAGTGATGCAAGCCAATCTGGCTGATGCTACCAACTTGAGGCTTCGCGCTCAAGGACTTCACGGCCCTGTTGCATGCACGCGTGAAAGGAGCATGCGGATAACGTGCGGTTTTTTACAGGAACAAACGTTGCGTGGGCAATGGCTTTGGTCTGGGCTTGCAGTAGTTTTGGCTTGGCTGGACCAGAGTGTTCACGCAGGCGACTAAAATTGCTGTACTACAGCCGGGGACCGGAACAGGTGGTCGGCGCGAAAAAAATTGCTTGAAGAGGGAATTAAGTTTGTTGGAACTCTTGTCACTTTGACAACAGCAGCAGATTGGGCGGACATGAGAGCAACTCTATTTTTGATAGATCCGAGAAAAAATGCGAGTGAAGCCTGTGTCCATGTCTGGTCCTCGGGGGTCAAATTTTGAAGGAGGGCCCCTGGCGACTCGGTTGGAAAACTAAACTTTTACGAAATAGAGGATGATTTTTTGCGAGGAGTTACGATCGATCCTGTCTCTTATTAAAGTTCTTGCGAAAAATGTTGCTTGCATGCGTGTGCGTGGACTGCTGTGGGCAGGGGCGTCTCGTACGTACCACGCGTCGGCAGCTAGCTACTGGTAGCGTGCCTTTCTGCTCTGTACCGTGGAATGGAGTGGAGAATCATACGGAGGCACTGTTTTTTTTTTATATACATGACCTTCCGCGTTGCTTTAGCCTGTGGTGGGTTGAACCCACGTTCTCCCTTGGCGACCGGCAGGTGATGCTGCGGTTGCGGGTAGTTGTGGCTGAATACAGGAATTTCAGGGGCGGGGGAATTAGGGACGGGAGAGAGAATTCAGACTTGTGGAATAGAGACCACTAGAGAAGAAAATCAAGAGTAGGGGCAGAGCCCGTGATAGTGTTGAGCCAGGTTGTTCGTGAAAAGTCTGTCCTTTTGTAGTGGTAAACGCCGTATGTTTTTGTTTTTGTTTTTTCCTACATAGCAGTGGACGGGGCGCTGTGGTTATGAGCGAGGGACGCTACAAAGAGGTGGGGCAATGCGTTGGACCGGTTTATTGCAAGCATTGCCACTGTCAGGAAGGTCGCAACGATTGTTCAAGAGAACAAAAGGCAGGAGGGAAACTGGTTGTAGATGTTGGGGTCCATGAACAAGCCGTGTTGTATGTTTCACACAAGGATGAGCTCTTTTTCAGGAGATGAGGGATGTTGGGGTGTATCGTGACAATAAGGACTGGGCTCGCGGAGTTGAAATGCACGGCTGTGGCTGTCGGGAAGCGTGAGGTAGCGTGATCAATAGAAAAGGAGGCCTGAGGGAGTTCGGCTCTTGTAGGAGATTGGTGTACATGTGTGTTTGGGTCTCTTGAACAACCAATGTTGTACGAACAGACATTTGCTGGTGATGATCCGGCGTTTGTGGGTGCGCAATGAAGCAAGCACCAAAGAGACGAGCCTGCTTGTAAATTGTAGGGAGACGAGACAAGATATCGGGAGGCGTGTATGCTACGAAGTATGTTTGAACGAATGTGTGGAGCGACGCGCGGAGTCGAATGCATGGCTGTGCAAGCACGGCATACAAACATGTAGGTGATACTAGCGAGGAAGGCGTGGTTTGGTTGGTGGCCGAGAGCGGCAAGCAGGCCTGTTGTTGTGTTGACGTTTTTTGTAAGTGAGGTGGAAATTGCGCTGACAACATGTACCTGTCGTCGTCGTTGTTTGTGCCAAGTACATGTTTGTCGCTAAAGCCTCTTATCATGTATTCAGAAACAGGGCACCGTCGCCCGTCCACCCGTTGAGATGGAGGCGCGGTGCAGCGACAATCTCGGCATAATTTTTCAAGCAGGTGTAGATCTTTGTCGGTGTCGCGCAGTCTCGGGCGGGTTGAGATGTCACCACTGGTCCGACGGCGATTCGCACGAGAGAGGCAAGGGGCGGGTGGGACTTTTCCAAGGCAGAGAACGATGATGCCAAGTGAGGGGAGCGGGATGAGGAACCGCGTGTGCGTGTGTGCGACCATGTTCCCGACGAAGGAAGGAGGCAAGTACCATGGCGGAAAAAACAGCCTAGAAGGAGGGGCGCTTGGCTAGAGACCGGGTGGGCATCCCCCACGCCTTCGAGCCAGGCGAAAGGGTCATCAAGCGTCTTGGTAGGTAAGTTTGAACGAACAGCTGACCAGAAGTGGCATCGACTTGAGAAACGAGCATATGGTGTCACATGCTCTTGCACTTGGTGCGCACGCTACTTTAGTCCTTGAAGTTGCGTGAACCAGAAATATGAGGCATTGGATAAGAGGTAGTCTAGGCGACACACGCACGGTGTCCATGGTGTTTACTCGCGTAGGGTACGTTTCTTTTATGTTGTTACTTGTATTCCGTGTTTGTTTACAAATGGCAAGCGTTGAACGTTGAATGTCAGCACGTGTAGCCGGGTTGAGGCGGGGCGATACTTGCTGCAGAACCGCCACTAAACGGTGGCGTGATGCACATCCAGCGCGTTCCCGAAGGCAGGCAGGCACGTTTTGATACATTCATGCGTCCTTTGATTCTACTAGTCGCGAATAATACAAATAGAGCGCTGTGCCGAGGGGGGATGGACTGTACGCAGCAATCTTTGTGGTCGATGACGATCAATACCTGCAGATGACGGGGTAAGGAGGAAGCAAAAAGTAGGGTTCTGTCGACAAATGAATAAACTCCGTCAAACGAAGAAATAGGAGTGTGTACTACGTGACCGGCACGTTTATTTCTCAAGCGTTGCCCCCGAAAGGCGCGAACAGTTTCATACACTCTCTTCTCTTGTAAATATTCCTGGTACGTGGTGAAGCTCACGTGCGTCACTGAACTTTCAGGAGCAAAACTGTTGCAAGTCAGGGGGTGACAAATTGACGGGGACATGAATGAATGCGGGATTTTGTCCAATCCGTCCCCATTTCGCGGCATCGACCCACATCCTTCCACGTGGATCTCGCCCTAGAGTGTCATGTCTCTATAACCCGTTCCTCGCTCACTCCAAACCACGCGACAGGAAAAAGAGCCTCTCTATGTTTACAGCAAGTACGTCGCTTACTATTTACCTACCGCTTGTGTTTCATCATCTTATTTCCCCCCATCTCTGTCACTGCAGTGCCTGTCGTCCTGGTCCGCACAATGCCTAGCCCGGTTTCTGGGGTCCGAAAACCGCGATCTCTTGTCTATCCCAACATTTCCGTCCCTCGCACCCGCTCACCACCCCCATCGTGTGAACAACCGTGCGGACCCTGGGGTTATCCGTGTCTTGATACTATTTCGAGCCCGTCTTGCTTAGTCTAGTCTAGGCTTCCTTCGGGGTATCCTTTCTTTGCAATTAATTTCCGTAACAACTACACACCAGCAAACGCTTCAATACAAATATCTAGAGGAAGAAGCAGTGGCTTTCAGTGGTTAGGAGCACCCCTTCAGGACGAACACTGTGTAGAAAGTAGTCATCTCGTCGAGTACTCGCACAACGAAGTATATACATCCCTCTGTATCGCTTCTTGGTCGTTTGTGTTTGTGGGGGGGGATACAAAATATCATCTATCTGCGGTAAATTAACAAAAAATGGATGATTACGTCGTCGGCGAAACGACGAAATGAAGCGCTTGCCGAAGGTATGCAGCCGCCAGGTGCCCCGACCTCCCCCCCGCCCCGCTGCGGTCGGCAAGTCTATCGAAATCTATGACCTTGATGCGTGCGCCTATCGCGAACGCTACTAACCTGCCGCAACGGGATACGGCCAGGCGCGCCGCGCCAGGTCTTGGCAAGACCACCACCCCGTCTGTAGCTGCTGCTGCTGCGGCTGCTGCTGCTTCGTTGACCAACGTTAGGAGGCACTTGCCGGTTTGGATGTTCCACACCTAGTCGCGGTATTGGGAGAAGAAACAGATTGTCGTGCACAAGTAGTACTGTAGTTCGAGTAAGCGTGGGAAGCACGATTGATATCAGAGAAGGGCGAAGCCTAAAGTGGGTGAGAACTGGATCGGGGAGGGGAGGGTGTGTGTGTGTGTGTACTCATAGTCATGCATGCCGTAGTCGTTAGACCATTGACCTCGCATCCCTAAAAAGCCGGGACGGAGAACGCCGGGTTCTCACCGGACCAGGCTCTCATATCACCAAGCGCGACGAGCCGTGAGGTATTCGGCCAGTCGCAGGAAGGGTGCGCTGCATCCTACTAAGGATGTACGACATCTTGTGCTTACTTCCTTGCGTACGGATGACAGCTGCGTATGACTTAATTTATTGTCTGGTGCTTTCAATTCCAGAGACAGCAGTTGCAAGCACTGTGTAACTGCCTCGAGGATGCGTGACCATTTTCACACAACGTGGTGCGATCATCCCCCTTGCGCGGAGTGAGGATTGTCCACCCCGCACAAGAGGATCTACTCGACCACCATTCATTATCCTTACCGCCAAAAAGAGAACAGAAAAAAAAAAACAACGGTAACCTGTTGGCCGAGTTCACGAAGTGAAGTGGCTTGTTTTACAACGTTGCCACGCGACGAAAACCCAATCCTGATGGCAAACGCCGAGGGGGGGGGCTTGCTTTACAATGTCGTTGCCGAGCGACGAAAACCCAACCGCGATGGCAAACACCGGGGGGGAGGGGGCGTACTCTTATGTTCTGCATGCCTTACTTAGCGGTTAGACCATTGACCACGCGTCCTCAAGAGGCCGGAGCATTGTTCCCACAGGACCGATCACCGATGACCGATCGTCCCTTTCTACTTTGCCAAAGGTGGCTCAAAATGTCTTCCCTAGTCTGTCTGTCCTAACGATATCCCTTCCCGCCTTTTCAACCCACCTCCTATGCCCCACTACAGCTACCGTCCTTTCCTCTCTTTTCCACGCCTCAAACATCTCCCTGTACGTCCCATCCATTTTTCCTAGCTCAGTCACGTACATTTCCCTCTCCTTCTTGTACAACGGACATTCCGCGACTACATGAACACGGTCTTCGCATTCGAAGCCGCAATCACATTTGAACTCGTCGTCTTCCTCGTCTACCG